ATCTTAGCAAAAGGGGTGCCTTTAGGTGTTGTTGCTGGTTCTAATTCATAGTGGATGGTGGGTTTGAAACACTGACCATGTGGTTAGAAGTCCAGTGCTTATCCTACAGCAGGGTACCAAGGCTCTGGCTTCACCTGTACCCTTCAGTAATGCCCATTTGCATTTGCATTTGGTTGTTATTAAGCGCTGTTGAGTTGGTTCCAACTTATAGTGACCCTGCATAGGGTTTCCAAGGAGCGGCTGATGAGCTTGAACTCCGACTTTGTGGAGCAAACCAACTTTACAGTCCAGTGCATTCACACACAGCACCAGTAGGAGACCATTAAGAATTGGGGCGAGGAGGGCTTTTCCACAGAGAAATAGCAAATATATGCTTCTTGTGGCTTTCTTTTTAATTCTCGGTCATGAAAATGATTTTGCACTAGTTTTTCAATTTAGTCCACACATGTCTAGTCAGCTCTAAGCTGGACATTTTGCTAGGAACTGGGGTTATACATGTACCTCTGGGAGCGTCCAACCTGCTAAAGCTGACCCCACTGCCCTCTGTAAAATGACCCAGAGACCTCTGATTTGCAAGACCACACTGCCCTTCTCAGGACGTGCCCATTGTCATACACTGAATTGTGTCCCCTTAAAATATAAGGCAGAGTCCTGTAGTGTGCAGTTTGAACTGCAAGGTCGGTGGTTCAAATCCACCAGCTGCTCCTTGGAAACCCTATACAGGGTTGCTATAAGTCAGAACCAACTCAATGGCACTTACAACAACAGCAAAATAAGGAGTCCTGCTGTGGCTTTGCAGGATAGTGCATTGGACCCAAAGGTTGCTTTGAACCAAAGAGTTGGCAGTTCAAACTCACCAGCTGCTCCTCGGAAATTCTGTATAGAGTGGCCTTGAGTTGGAAACAACTTGACGGTACTTAACAACAACAACAAAATAAGTGTTGTAAATCCAATTGCCTATATTGGTGGTTGGAGTCCTGGTGGGGCACTGTAGGATCAGAGCAAGACTACAAGGTTGGTTTGAACTACAAGTTCGGTGGTTCAAACTCACCAGTCACTCCTTGGAAACCCTATACAGAGTCGCTATGAGTCAGAATTTACTCAGCGGCATTTAAAACAACCACAACATACTGGTGGTTATTGTCCCATTTGGGAGTGGGCTTTCTTTGGTAGGTTTAGTATAGAGTATGTCATGAGCTCATCTCTTGTGACATAAAAGAGGAAAATAAGCAAGCAAGCAGAAATGGGGGAAGGTAGAGGCTTTGCCACATGAAAATCACCGATGAGTCATGAACCGAAGCTGAAAAGGACACGGACCTTCCCCCAGAACCCTCCCCTGAATTTAGACTTCTAGCTTAGTTCTGCTGGGGTGTAATAGGATCAACACTGAACTGCTAAGTATAAGCTGGTTGTTCAAACCCACCAGCTGCTCCCGGGGAACTTTATACAGGGTCGCTACGAGTCAGAACTGACTTGACGGCGCTCAACAACGACAAACTTTCTTTCTTCTGAGTGCCTGGGTGAACTTGAACTTCCAAACTTTCACAATGGCCACTGTTGTTGGGCCATCGAGTTGGTGCCGACTCATAGCGACTCTATGTACAATAGAACGAAACACTGCCCAATCCTGGGCCAACCTCACAATTGTTGCCATGCTTGAGCTCACTGATGCTGCCACTTTGCCAATCCATCTTGCTGGGGGTCTTCCTCTTTTTCTCTGACCCTCCACCTTACCAAACATGACATCCTTCTCCAGCCACTGGTCCCTCCCGACAATGTGTCCAAAGTATGAGAGACGAAGTTTGGGATCTTGGCCTCCAAGGAGCACTCTGGCTGCACTTCTTCCAACACAGATCTGTTGGTTCTTTTGGCAGCCCGTGGTACTTTCAATATTCTCCTCCAACACCATAACTCAAAGGCATCAATTCTTCTACGGTCTTCCTTATTCACTGTCCAGCTCTCACATGCATATGAGGTTATTGAAAATACCGTGGCTTGGGTCAGGCGCACCTTAGTCCTCAAGCTGACATCTTTGCTCTTCAACACTTTAAAAAGCTCTTGTGCAGCAGATTTGCCTAATGCAATATGTCGTTTGATTTCTTGACTGCTGCTTCCATGAGTGTTGATAGTTGATCCAAGAAGAATGAAGTCCTTGACAACTTCAATCTTTTCTCCATTGGTAAGAATGCTGTTTATTGGTCCAATGGTGAGGATTTTTGTTTTCTTTACATTGAGATGTAATCCATACTGAAGGCTGTGCTCTTTGATCTTCATCAGGAAATACTTTAGGTCTCCTTCACTTTCAGCAAGCAAGGTTGTATCAACTGCATATCACAGGTTGTTAATGAGTCTTCCTCCAATCCTGATGCCACGTTTTTCTTCATATAACCCTGCTTCTTGGATTATTTACTCAGCATACAGGTTGAATAAGTATGGTGAAAGAATACAACCCTGTCGCACACCTTTCTTAATTTTAAACCATTCAGTGTTCCCATGTTCTCTTTGAACAATTGTCTCTTGATCCAGGTACAGATTCCTCAGGAGCACAATTAAGTGTTCTGGAATACTCATACTTCACAATGTTGTCCATAGCTTGTCATGATCCACACAATTGAAAGCCTTTGCGTAGTCAACAAAGCACAGGTAAACATCTTTCTGATATTCTCTGCTTTCAGCCAAGATCGATTTTGGATGTGTTGTGAGAAGGGAACAGTCCCTGGAGAAGGACATCGTGTGTGGTAAAGTGGAGGGTCCATAAGAAAGAGGAAGACCCTCAGCGAGCTGGATGGACACAGTGACCACAGCACGGGCTCAAGCACAAGGATTGTGAGGAGGACGCAGGACCGGGCAGTGTTTTGTTCTGTTGTATGTGGGGTCGATATCAATCCGAACTGACTTGGCGGTGCCTAACAACAACAGCACTGTACTAGGCAGGTGGGAGAACGCAATCAATGAGCACGTGAGGGTCTCTGAGTGGTAACTAGCACTAGTTAGTACTCGCCATGAGTGGAGAGCAACTTGGGTCTATAGAGCAGTTTCTAATCATAAAAGCCACTTTGCCACCACAAGAGAAAAACGGATATTCTTATACAAAGATCTAAACCTCGTTAGTGTGAAAGTATCCTAAATGAGATTGGAGCTCGAGTTTTTCACACAGATGATGGACAAGGGGTTCGTAATATAAAGAGATCAGAAAGTTTCATCCAGAAGCTTCCAGATCCTGATGAACACATGGGCAAACACAAACAATCTGACAAACCAAATACCAAACCCATTTCTGTTCAGTGAGTTCCAACTCACAGAGACCCTATATTGTTGGTAAGTACCGTGGAGTTGGTTCCAACTCACAGCGACACTGTACAGGGTTTCCAAGGCTGCAAATCTTTACGGGAGCAGAAAGCCTCATCTTTCTCCTGTGGAACAGCTGGTAGTTTCGAACTGCCAACCTTGAGGTTAACAGCCCGATTCGTAACCACTACGCTACCAGAGCTCCTTAGGACAGAGTAAAATCGCTCCAGGGAGTTTTGAGGTGGTACAGAAATCTTTACAGAAGCGAACTGCTTCATCTTTCTTCCATGGTGGGTTTGAACCACCAACCTTTCAGTTAGTAGTCCAAAGCTTGGCCCACTGTGCCACCAGGACTCCTTAAACAATCTGAAGAGAAGATAATATCATTTTGACCAAGACAACACACAGCAAGTATTCAACCTCACCAGTCCTCAAACAGAAGTCCCTGGTGGTACAAATGGGTTAGCAATTGGGTGCTAACTGAAAGGCTGGTGACTCAGATAGACCCAGTGGTACCTCAGAAGAAGGTCCTGCCAACATACATCTGAAAAATCCACTGAAAAACACTCAGTGCTGTTGAATTGACTCCTACTGAACGAGCAGAGTAGAACTGCTTCGTAGGGTTTCAGAGACGATAAAGCTTTACAGCCTCATCTATCTTTCAAGGAGCAGTTGGTGGATTTGAACCACTGATTCAGTGGTTAGCAGTCCAATGCTAACTCACTGTGCCACCAGGGCTCCTCTGAAAAACCAGCTACTGAGAACTCTGTGGAGCAGTTACATTCTGTCACACACTGGGAACCTTGAGCTAATCTACTTATGAAAAATCATCCACTGAGAACCCTGTGGGCACAGTTCTACTCTGACACACATGGGGACACCATGAGTGGAATCTACTTATGAAAAATCATCCACTGAGAACCCTGTGGGCACAGTTCTACTCTGACACACACACGGGGCACCATGAGTGGGATCTACTTATGAAAAATCATCCACTGAGAATCCTGTGGGCACAGTTCTATTCTGACACACAGGGCACCATGAGTGGAATCTACTTATAAAAACTCATCCACTGAGAACCCTGTGGGCACAGTTCTACTCTGACACACATGGGGCACCATGAGTGGAATCTACTTATGAAAAATCATCCACTGAGAATCCTGTGGGCACAGTTCTACTCTGACACACGGGGCACCATGCGTTCAATCTACTTATGAAAAATCATCCACTGAGAACCCTGTGGGCACAGTTCTACTCTGACACAC